CTCAGATTTCCCAATCTAGCTAGTACTAATATATATCTATGAGGGCTATAGTAGACTTGGTACAAGAACTATTTCCAAAATCAAAATACAGGATCACATTTCAAGTTTAAAATTGTTACTTTGATAAGCATGAAACCCTAAGCAGCACAAAACTTAGTAGCACTAGAATTCTAATCAATACTTATGGCTCTATTTTGGTAGTTGTGTTACAGCGTTTTATCCATTTGTTGAATATAGTGCAATATTTGTTCCCTATTTGTAGGAAACAATGGTTTTGTCAACACATGTTCTAGCTATTACCATAACAATGGTTTTTATTATTATTGTTATTCCATAGTAACCTTATTATCATTAAAGAAACTTATTGGCTAAAGCTGCATGTGATCCACCAAAGTTGGGGTGTTGATATAATCTAACAAACGAAGGTACATCTTTACTTGCTAGAACATTACTCTTTTGTATTGTTGGAGTCCAGGTGATAACACAAAATCATTAATTTTTCCAAATGTAATTTGTTTGTATTTGTGTTAAAACTGATATTTAGACAAACAAACAAAATTCATTGTTAACAACTCAGGCAAGGTACTTTTATCTTCTGACCAATGGACTCTAATCAATGTTGCATTTTTTTTTTCTGGATGGATGATCTCAAACATGTTTTCAGTTTTCACATCATAAAATTGTAGGTTGAGTATCCCAGCTGTACCATCTTTAGAAGGAGTAGTATAAGGCTCACACTGCCAAGACATTGTTTCCTTGTGAAAATTCAGGGCAAACTACTTTTGGGAAGCTGAAGTCATGCAGTGGTCCATTGTTAGTGAATTGATGATATGTACTTTTATTCTAGCAACCCTGCCAAACAAGATCCCATATCACTATAGTTGTATAAACTTTGTAATTTTTTTGTTCAAATTCCACCTGTCATCCCTGATTTTAAGAAGGGTAGAGTATTTCAGTATAAACTTTATAAAGAATGCCCCAGACCACCTGGAAAATACAAGTGTGGTAGTCCATTCACCATACCCAGCCCATATCCTTGGACTAGCAAGAGCAGGATAGATGGTGCCATCTTGTTTTAGAAAAAAAAGAAAAGTTCTTAATACTGCCAAAATTACAGATTCTGCTAATTATAGTCCTGTGGTTGTCTTTGGTCATAATTAAAGGGAATGCTAAATTTTGATTACAGATTAGGGTAAATAAAAATGTCAAAATCCAAGTTAATAGGAACCTATGGGTTGTATCCACAGATCCACGTTAAGAACACCTCAAAAGAGACTGGGAATCCTCACTCATTCATATGCCTAGCAGAAGTCAGTAAGGGGACAGAAGAATGGGATGGTATGAGCCATCCACAATTGTACAATCATTCATTCTACATTCCTTATTTTATCTATTTGACTTATCTGGGCTTCTTGAGACTTCTCGTGTCTTTCTCAGTATGTTTTTTTTTTTATATCAAAGTAAGATTAAAACTAGTCAGTTTCGGGCTGGAGTTGTGGCTCAGTGGTAGAGTGCTCACCTACCATGGGTGAGGCACTAGGTTCGATCCTCAGCATCACATAAAAATAAGTAAATAAAAATAAAGGCATTGAGCCCACCTACAACTAAAAGATATTAAAAAAGAAACTAGTCAGTTATATTTGGTAGCTATTGTGTTTTGGTTTCGGTGAAGGGGAATCTTTTTTGGTTTGGGGGTAGTTTTTAAATATATTCATGGTTTGAAATATACTTTATGGTTGTAGGGAAGGCTGAAACTGCTGATTGTCTCAATTCATGTGTTTATGCCATGTCTAACTTCTATGAATTGGGTAATGGGCTTAAAATGTGGATAATATCACAATATTAAATTTTGACCACTGTCTTCTGCCTTTGAAGATTTTGAAGTAGGTAAAACTTAACTCTCTCTTGACTTCCTCACTGCTGCCTTCTCCTGGGCTTCTCTTGACTTCTAGATTCTTTAATGGTTACTTCTAAAATCCTCTTGTCTGTCTCTCACTCTGCCAACCATAAGATGTAGGCATTTCCTCCACATTAAGCCTTGGGATGGTTTCCTCTTCATGTGTTTTACCTTGGCACTATCTCCCAATCCCCAATTTTCATCCTTTCCCATGTTCCTTGTCAGCAGTAACAGCCCTACCTGCCTCTTCCAAGTTGTTCAGATTTTAATAAAACTCAGCACACACTCTTTAGACACATTGTTAAGTGCTAGGGATACAAATCTGGACCAATGGAGTAGGTTCCTGCCTTTGCACACTCTACAGTCTACCAAGGAGAGCAACCTTAATGAGTAGGATGAAAGGGGCAGAGTTGATCATTAGGGATCTAGCCTACTTTGGGGTCATAGGGAAGCCCATCAAGGGGAAGTGATGTTTAAATTGGAAATTTGAAGGTGTACTGAGGGAGAGCTCAATGACCAGTGTAGGAACTGGGATTTAGAAAATGTAAATGTTACATTTTCTAAATACCAAAATGCCAAAATCTAGAGAGAATAGCAGGGAAAGAGGAAAAGATGTGAAGTTTGCTGCAATATGAAACTCAAAAGAGGCCAACTGATCTCATTGAAAATCAAAGGGAGACAGTAGAGGAAAGGGACCAAGAGGTGGGAGCCAGGGAGGGTAGGAGGAGGTGCTGGGGAATGATATGGGCCAAATTATATAGTTATATTGTACAATATAATTTGTATAGATGTACAAATATGTAACAGCAGTCCCAACATTATGCACAACTATAATAAAAAAGAAAAAGAAAAACGTGGAAAACTAAAAGAGGACATCTGAGTCTAATAAAGAATCTACTTCCTGTTAGAATTCTAGAGGAGCAGGTCACACTGGCAAACCCTTGCTACCATGTTAGCGAAGGATGGGGGTAAGTAGCACCTATTAAGGCCAATGGGGAAGTCCATAGGAAATTCAGTTAGGCATAGCATTTAGGAGTACACTTTTTAAAATTAATCTGTGTATGGAAATTAGTTTGGCAAAGGGCCAGAGACCACTGAAGGTGTATCAAAGGCCAGCTCAGAGATGCTATTTTTCTCTCAGAAAAATCTGAGTCCTCGTCGACTGAGTATTTCTCCATCACTTGCTCTTCCTACCCATAAAATATTGCATCCTTAAGATTTAATTTCTATAGTGTCCATTGCATGTCATTTTTTATTTTCGTTGACCTAATTCAACTTCTTGTTTTTTTTTTCAGAACTGTTTCAACAGCCTCTTACTCTACTGACCTTCTAGATCTTCTAGTTTCCCTTTTCTCCACTTCAGTACCATACAGCTGTACTGCCAGAATTATCCCCCTTATCCCCATGAAATGCATTTTGTTGCTGCAAATGTGTGAACATTAAATCCAAACTCTTCTTCCTGGTTCACCACCTCCATGGTGCTGGCTCTGTGGACACTGCCAGTTTTCTCCACCATACAAATACCTTCCACAAGTTTCCAATCTCACACACCAATTTACAAGTGTCCAGATACACTAAACTCCCCCCACCTTCTTAGAATATCTTTCTCTTCCAGTTTACTTATAAAAAAATTCTATATTGAAGACTCATTCCCAGTCCAGCTTCCTTTAATTCCAAATGCCCCAATCAATTAATCTTCCTTCCTGCATAGGTTCCAATTATCTATCTAATTAAACTTCTTACTTGTGTTTCACCATTTACTAGAATCTATTTCCTATTAGGATTCGATTTGAATTAGTTAATATGAGACAGACTGTCCCACTAGAGTATGAATTTCTAGGGACTAGGGAGATTTATCATCATCCTTTCTGTGTTACCTAAAGTGATTTGTTTGTCCTTTATGTAAAAGGGATCAACAAATGTTAAATGAATTCACAGGTGGTAGTGAGGTGATTTGATTCCAAAATTGTGAATGTCTCTGAACAAAATCCCCAACCCCACGCTGGCTATAATATTCTAGGTTCACCATATACACTGAATATTTTATTAACAGTGTTTTTTTTTTTCTGAAGGTAGCTAAATGAAACAAATCTCAAAAGAGATTTTATTGAGAAGTTCTGAATTCTGTGTGGAATGTTGAAATTCATTCTATGAGTATTGTTGAGCTCAAAATATGTATTTATTTTTTATTTTGCTGGGGATGGAACACAGGGCCGGATGCATACTAAGCACACTGTCATTGAACTATACCTCCGGCCCCCAATTTTGCATCTGTCTCTAGGCATGCAGCTATTAATAAAACAGATTATTGTTCTGAGAGCACATAACAGATGTTGTCAAAGAAGTTTGGGATTTCTTCATCAAGAAATGCAGGAGAATATACACTTACTGAACTGGAAAAAAATTGTTCAGCTAACTCAGAGAGGTGGTTACAATGGAGATGTGACCAATATATAACAGTATATACAAAGATAAAATACAATATTGCTAACTGCAGTTTATTTAGGGCTTGTTTGTTGCTAATATTTTATACATTCCTTATATTTGACTTTAATAAAATCTTGCACCAGGCAGTTTTTATTACTTTTTCTCAGTATTACTTTTTACCTTAGACTGGGAAGCATCAATAGAGGTGTTAAGCAATAATCACTTTCATTGAATTCCAATAGGAGCCTAACATCATATTGAAAATTGGAGATATACAAACTTAATTTGTGGCCTCATGTAGCTTGCAGAAATAGTATTTTATATAGTAATTACATTGCTGCAGGGTAAAAATTAGGAATGTAGTACTAGAAGATGATGCTCATGTAGGAAACACTGACCTTTTTTTTTCAAGGTCAATTCGAAACAGGACATTAAGGACAAATACTATGATTTTTCTGAAATACGAGTGTCAAGTATGTGAACTTTCAGAACACAATTAGCATAGATGAAACCTAAGAGACTTTTGATGGAAAGACATAAATTATGAAGGACGTGTACATTCAGAAAAATTTAAGAGTGTTTTCCAGATGTCTCTGTGTAAATAATGTAAAGAAAGATTGATGGCTTCAAATTTGACTAGATTTTGTTTGTTTGTTTTTTCAAAATCTTTTCTAAGAATTGCCCTGGTGGAAAATATTCCTGAAGGCCTTAACTATTCAGAAAATGCACCATTTCACTTATCACTTTTCCAAGGCTGGATGAATTTACTCAACATGGCCAAAAAGTCTGTTGACATAGTATCTTCCCATTGGGATCTCAACCACACTCATCCATCAGCATGTCAGGTAAGCTGCATCCTCTCTCTGTGTGTTAATTTTACGTATGTGTATTTGACACTCTTTAGTATTCTTTTCCTCCACTCCTCAAACTCAACTCATTTTTTAAATTCCACCTTCGCTCATGAGTTTGTGCATATCATCGCATTTATCTATACATGTTGTTGTTAATCATATGTTGCTTGGCTCCTACCATCACCCCAGGCTTTTAAGGGCATGATCATATTTCCACTTTGCCTACAATAGGCTCTCCATATAGCACTGTGCCACACGGCTCCAGGGGTGCCATTCACATCAGAGCACCTGTCAATAGCAAGGCCCAGAAATATGCTTTGCACAACCTGCATGTTTACAGATCTATTTCTGTAACTTATTGCCAAGATATTTATTTGGTCAATTTGTGTTATAATTTACCACTAGGCTACAGAGCCTACTTTTTTTTTTTTTTTTGGTACTTGGGATTAAACTCAGGGGCACTCAACCACTGAGTCATATCCCCAGCCCTATTTTGTATTTTATTTAGAGACAGGGTCTCACTGAGTTGCTTAGCACCTCGCTTTTGCTGAGGCTGGCTTTGAGCTCACGATCCTCCCATCTTAGCCTCCTGAATCACTGGGATTACAAGTGTGCACCAACATAGGTCTGGCCAGAGCCAACTTTTTATTTTTTTTAATTTTTTATTTTTTTAAAGAGAGAGAGAGAATTTTTTTAATATTTATTTTTTAGTATTCGGCGGACACAACATCTTTGTTTGTATGTGGTGCTAAGGATCGAACCCGGGCCACACGCATGCCAGGCGAGCACGCTACCGCTTGAGCCACATTCCCAGCCCCAGAGCCAACCTTTTAAAACAATGAAATCATACTTGTTTCTTGAGTCTGTCATATTTGGGTGAATAGGAAACAGAAATGTGATTATTGAAGAGAACCATCCTTAGAAAACTGACTAAATGAGTTAAGTGATTTCTGAATTAAGTACTCTGGATGTGAGAAAATGATTCTGGCTGGATTTAGTGTATTTTTGTTTATATTGATACAACCATGATAGTTGCATTGAGCTATCCTGTCCAAACCTATGATCACTGCCCTATACTTAAGTGTCCTAGATGGGTCAAGGGTAACATCGGTTTCATGTCTGCAATTAAAAATGTCTTGGCAGTAAGCCTATACTCATTACTTATCGGTGCTTTGAAATCCGTTTTTCATTTTTACTATTTTAAAGTCAAAATTATAAGAAAATAGGTAAAAACAACCAAAGTGCACAAGGTCATACTAAAGAATTGAGTACATTTACTAAACTTGCTAAACGTGCATGCATTCTTCCTGTTTCCATGTCTGCTATTTCGCAGCTGTTTCAAGTATTTATTGTTGCATCAAGCATCATCCCAAACAGTGGTTTAAAAAATATCAGTCATTTTTTACATTCATGATTTGGGGCAGGGCTTGATAGAGAGGACTCATCACTGATCCACAGAGTGTTTGCTGGAGTGGCTTGCCTGGGGCTAGAGGATCCAAGAAGGATCACACATATCTGGATTGTCAGCTGGTGTAGCTGGAATGTCTGGGGGTAGCTGGATCTCTTCTTTGTTCACACATGTCTCATCTTTCTGTAAACTAGCTTGGGCTCTAGATGTGGTGACTGGATCCTAAGAAGACAAAGGCTAAAGCTCTAAGGCCTGCTAAAAGACCTGGTTCTGGCATTCCAGAATGATGTTCACGATATATTTCATAGGTTGAAGCAAGTCACAAGTCCAAGATTGGAGGCATGGCATCCAGATACAGGACTAAGAAGCACTGTAGGCAGCCATCTTTGGAAATAATACTCAGCCACTTAGTGGCCATAGCAATTCATGTTTCTTCCACATGCAAAATACACTCACCTCTTCCCTCAAAAATTAATTTCTAAGTTCTATTACATGAAAGATTCAATGTCTAGGACTACTTTATCTTTATCAGCTATAGATCTGAATGAATTGCCCATATGGGCTTCTCTTGATTTGAAAACACGTATACTAAACACTAGTTATATGTCTCCCCACCCAGACTCTATTTTTTTAAATTTTTTATTAGTTGTTCAAAACATTACAAAGTTCTTGACATATCATATTTCATACATTTGATTCAAGCGGATTATGAACTCCTATTTTTACCCTATATACATAATGCAGATTCACATCGGTTACACATCCACTTTTTTACCTACTGCCATACTAATGTATGTTGTATTCTGCTGCCTTTCCTAACCTCTACTATCCCCCTCCCCTCCCCTTCCCTCCCCTCCCATCCCCTCCCTTCCCATCTTCTCTCTCTACCCCATCTACTGTAATTCATTTCTCTCTCTTTTTTCCCCCTTTCCCCTCCCTTCCTCTTATATGTAATTTTGTGTAACAATGAGGGTCTCCTTCCTTTACCATGCAATTTCCCTTCTCTCTCTCTTTCCCTCCCCCCTCTCATCCCTGCTTAGTGGTGATCTTCTCATGCTCTTCCTCTCTATTCTGTTCTTAGTTGCTCTCCTTATATCAAAGAAGACATTTGGCATTTATTTTTTAGGGATTGGCTAGCTTCACTTAGCATAATCTGCTCTAGTGCCATCCATTTCCCTGCAAATTCCATGATTTTGTCATTTTTTAGTGCAGAGTAATACTCCATTGTGTATAAATGCCACATTTTTTTTTTATCCATTCATCTATTGAAGGGCATCTAGGTTGGTTCCACAGTCTAGCTATTGTGAATTGTGCTGCTGTGAACATTGTTGTAGCAGTGTCTCTATAGCACGCTCTTTTAAGGTCTTTAGGGAATAGTCCAAGAAGGGGAATAGCTGGGTCAAATGGTGGTTCCATTCCCAGCCTTCCAAGGAATCTCCATACTGCTTTCCAAATTGGCCGCACCAATTTGCAGTCCCACCAGCAATGTACAAGCCCACACAGACTCTAAACATGCAATGTTAAAGCAGGGATAGGATAATTACAGATACTTTTGTTCAAAAAGGTGGAAAGGGACAGCACATTTTAGTCATTAGTCTATGATAATTCTGAATCCAGCCTGTCATGTGTTACCAGTTTCTCCAACTCTGCAAACAGGAATGTGTCTAGACTGGGATCTAGTTCTTTTCCCTAGGCCTGGTTTGCCAATCTGCTGCCTTCAAAAGCCCCTTGCTCCACCCACCATCTGACCATCTGTGTCTGTGTTCTTATGATTCTGGGGACTAAACCCAGGGCCTTCTGCATGGTAGACAAGAACTGCACCACTGAGCTGCACCAACCCACTGCCCAGCCTATGTTCTTTTTTTTTTCCACAAGAAATAATCTGCTTTTCTTTTGGACTTATTTTTTAGTATGCTTCCTGCTAGTAGGATTTAAAACCACGGAGACCTCATTTCTTTTTAAACCATCTCTGTCCTGTTTTAATCCAGCATAGTACAAACCTTTAACAACTTTTAGATGTTCCACTGAATTAGCAAAAAGAACCCATACCACAAATAACTTGTAGACTTGTCTTTCTTTTCCCTAAACTATGAACCTAGGTGCCCCAGGTCTTCACCGTTCAAATTGCTGGGAGCTTTTCTGTAGCGTGTTAGGAGATGGTCAGTCAGGTGTGGCCACAAGAAGAGACAGAGGAAAGGCTCAGAAAACCAAAATTTAGTATACTCATAGGTACCAGAGACAGAAGGCATGGAATACTACACAGACTATATAGACACCAGGGTAGTCAGGAGTCATAAGGGGCAGGACCAAGAGAAAAATTTAAACCAGAGACTATATAGGTATATCTTTGGAAAGACAAGACAGGGCAGCACAAATAGTTCCTGATTGACTAGTTTGAATAATTTCTTCAGACTGTAAGCTATAGAAGTGAATCCTGGTACCTGGTTTGGAGATAATTAAGGCAGAGGAATCTTGCCTCCCTCAGGGTGTATGGCTCTAACAGAGGAGATCTGGATTTAAACTCATTCATTTGCATATCAGAGACATGCCCCTGACTAGTTCTGAGAGGCATTTGTAACCTCTAAGAATTAACTAGCCCAGCTAGAGGCAGTCTCCCCCAGCCAGAAAGGTTTTGTGGAATTGTGAAGACATCATAATATATTGGGAAAAAATTTAAATTACATATATATTACAGAGCTCTTTTGTCTAGCTGAGAGGTCTACAATGTACCCACTACCCTGAGGCCATCTCTTTGAGATTTTTTTTTTTTTTTTTTTGCTGAGTGGAGAGATCTCTATATTTCCTCTAAATTCTGCATGAAAACTTAACAGTGCTGTCTTTAGTTCATCTTTTTCATAACACTCTATATATACTATGAAAGCTTTGATCACCGCCCTAAAATTGTCAACCAGATCCACATTAGTTATATTTTTATTTTCCGTTTTACAGCAGGTGGTAGTGTTGCCAAGCAGCCTGGCCTTCTTGATTTGAATGGCCCTTCTGAAGACCCCAAAAGCAGTTTATTTACTATGCTTCCAGCCTTGAGGAATAGGATGAGATTCTTGTTTTCATCACCACCCAGTCCCCAAGGCAGTGCCACATGGCTTTATCTCAGTTATCTATTGCAATGTAATAAACAGCTTCAAGATATTTTCCTTATTATTTCCTATGATTCTGTGTGTTGGCTGCACAGTTCTTTGACTCCAGTAGAACCAGCTAGACTCATTCCCATGGTCACACTTGGTTGGGAGAGTGTCTGGGGCTGGGCTGTCTGAGGACTGGATGGTTCTCCTTCTCCTCATGTGCAGTCTCATTATTCAATAATCTAACCCAAGATTCAGACAGCTGGATTCCATGAGGGTGAAAGTGAAAACTATAAGACCTCTCAATTTCATAACACTAGTTTTGCCACATTCTATTAAATGAAGCAGGTGACAGGCCAACCCAGATTCAGGGGAGGGGCAAAAGACTCCTGGTATAGTGTGCATGTTTACCAGAGGGAGAAAATGTTGACAGTGGACTTTGGGAATTATCTACTATAGCAGATTTGATGGTGTGAGATAGTTTAAGTTGTCTTTCCTGAGCC